ATAACATTGCATTCAATTCAACACAATTTAAGTTAAATATTTATATAAACAAAACTAACAACAAATAAATATCAGTTCTGGCGGTCGTTAACCTTATTTACTAATAAAATGTCATCATTTCTATTCACACTCCTTTACCCTGGAAAAATTTACCCTCAATGAGTGAACATGTAAATACGCTCCCTCTGTGATATAGGTTTATCATACAATGTTTATATGTTCACTCATTCAGGGTAAATTTTTCCAAGGTAAATTAGTGTCAATATTATGATTAAACCTTATTATTAATGCTTTATTAATATAAAGAAATCAAATTCAAGATAACATTGAATTGATATAAATATTAATAACTTTTTTTATATAACACTTAAACCAAAGCTTATACTAATAAATATGGGTTTCATTAGTGAAGTGATTATTTGTTTGCGCAATACTTACAATTCAAACCAATTGTAAACTCACTTTAATCTAAAAATGCATTTATTTAATTATTTTTAAATTCACTGAATTATTCATTAATTAAATTATTATTGACTGCAATCATACAATTGATTGCATTGAATACTGAATGTAAATAACAATAAAGCATATAATCTATAATATGAGCGCAAATGCTATAATGGATTTCAATCACTTCAAGGATAAAACAAAGCCTTCCTATAGTTATACAGATATATATAGGGTTAGAGTTACCGGAGATTCATATCACGGGTCAGACACCAGACCTTCAGATCAGACATTTATTACCACATTTTGCCACAAATATATTTACATATACTGTACTCAACACATGGGTTGACAACAAATCAATGGTTATATTTACGGCAAAACATTATACAAATGTCAACAAAATAAGAGAGCAATGAGAGGACCGGAACAGCCGATCGTCACCGCAATAGTCAACACATTTGTCACTCCTTTTTATCACAAGTAATTCAAAGTGTGTTGAGAAAGACATGGAGTGACCGATATGTGACTGAATGGACGCAAAGAAGCGATAGTATTGCGCAAAGACTTACAGATTTCAAGTGTGGGTTTGAATGGCAGGCATTGGACTCCTGGAAGAACATACTTAACGCCGTCTAAGACATGGAGAGAGCAATGATAAGAGCAATGCAAGTGTTGGAAGCGATGGGTGATGTCATACCTCGAACTGCCAGTGCGTGGACTGCAGGAGTTGTATGGCCTGATCGCGAGCACAACCGGCCGCAGACACGAACTGATTGATCATCACTTGTTCCCGAAGCGAATCCATTGCGAACGATGTGTTGGATGTGTTGGAAGTGATTGGCAGACAAATAGTGGCGAATGTATGGCTCGAATCACACGATGTTTTGTCCCTTTGTTTTGGTTAACAAATCAATTGTTTGGCAAAAAACGACAACAAATATGTGTTTATATAGTGTTTGTAGTGTTAGTAGTGTTTGAATGCCTTCACAACACATACGACGGACACAACACACGAACTGTTGTTGTCATTCAAACACCAAAACACACATTAAAGCCAACTATACCTCAACTGGTGGTTAACACTTCCACAGCTCGACACCAAACAGACAACTCTTATCGCTCTCGAGACCCAGTGATGGCAATGAAGAGCTCGAGCCTGAGTTGCCATCACTGGTGTGCGTCACTGACAGCCTTGACTTACAATTGGATCAATACATTGCCTGTCATTACAGTCACAACAAAAACATAGAGTCATCCAAACATTACGTTACGTAACCATTATTGTCAATATAAAGGTGTTTGTGTTGAGTAGAGTTGTTTACGGTTATGGTGTGGTTGTGGACAACTTGAGATTGTATTGACACAACTGTAAGACATAATCCTAGTTGTGATGGAGTTGTCGGACATGTCGTACAATCAGATGGAGTACATCGAGACGGCGTCTGGCAATAAGGTGTGCCGTAAGTCAGTATTGTGTGGCTCTCAGAACATTATGCTTATGGGAAAGACTGTGATTCAGTCGAGTTGTATAATAAGGGGTGATTTGGCGAACGTCAAGATTGGCCGCCACTGTCTGGTCTGCACGGGTGCTGTCATTCGTCCCCCCTTTAAGAAGTTCACTAAAGGGTATGCATTGACTGCAATCATGTGTTGATGTCTTGTACTGACAATCATTTGCAATGACTGGTAAATAGAGTGGCATTCCTTCCGATGACAATCGGGGATAACGTATACATAGGAGAGGACACTATAGTGAACGCGGCGTCCATCGGTTCCTATGTATATATTGGCAAGAATTGCGTTATTGGCAGACATTGTGTACTAAAGGACTGTTGTTTGATAGCCGACAACACAGTCCTCCCTCAGGGAACAGTTGTGCCCGCGTTTGCCGTCTATAGCGGCTCTCCCGGACTCTTCACGTCAGAACTGCCCGAATGTACTCAAGACGTGATGATTGACTTCACTAAAGGATATTATCAACACTTTAAACCAAAAACTAATTAATTTATTATATCATACATATTGTACTGTATATTGAAATTTTTATTACAAATTAAAAATTTAATTCATGTATTTGTAAACAAATTAATTCGATTTAAACCATTTGGGAATCTTTTTGTCTTTTGGGCCGTTTGTGGACTCATTTGCATCTGAATTCTGGGTGACGGAAGTTTGGGTCACCGGAGCTGATGGCACATCAGTAACCGTTTTGTTGAGTGACTTTCTTGAATCAAATGCTATCTTTGCGGCCCATTTGTATGAACTAACCTTTTCCCTGAACTCTTGTTTAATGGCATTGTCTTCACGTTTGACAGAATCTGATCCAAAGTGAATGACAGCCGCGGGAACTAAATTACTGTCCAATAGTGTGGTTCCGGCTTTCAATTGACATTTGGGCGGAACTGTATATAAATAGAACTCATTTGGCATAACATAACTACTTATTGTCTTCATAATAGTGTCGACGGTATCGTCGGGTTTGAAAATAGCCTGATATATGAGTTTATCAGTCGGGAAGAGAACGCGAATCACTGTTGACTTATATCTTTGCCTTTCAGCCAATTTCTTCTGTTCTTTCATTCGTTTGGTTTCTAACATATTCTCGTTTTCTCCGATTCTAAACAAATGTCGATATAATATAATGAAAGCAATCAATTATTTGTAACTA